AAAATAACCATGTTTCTATCTCATATAATACCATATTATTTATTATATAATATTATCACTTAATTGCATGAGATACAGTGTTATAAATAAAAAGGCGTACCCGAAAGAATTATAAACGTGTCGTTTCAAACTTCTGGGACGAATTTGAAATCCTCGCATAAGGAATGCATCGGTAGTTTTGGCAACACTGAAAAACTTAATCATATCTTTAGCATCCGATGTCCGATTTTGTTGATTCAATATGATCCGAATAGCCAACAAAATTTCGCACAACTTTCGTATTTTAAGTTTTCTGAGATTCGGACTGAATCATGATGAAATTAAGCCTCCAAGTCGAAGTACGTGTGCTGTATAAGATTGCACCTACAATGAAACCATGAAAATTTTAAATAATATTCATGAATCAAGAATAATATAATACCTCATCATATTTAGGGTATGATTCTATCATTATTCTTCGATTCGGTCTTCCTTCACCAAAATTTCGTGCACCATAAAGTGTTAGAGACGTGTTGATACACTGGGGTTGCATCGCCTTACGAACGGTTGCATTATTCATGAAAAGGTGCGTTGACAGTTCTGGCACCCTTTCGTGTTTTCATCATAACTCCTTCGTATGAAATCCGATTGAGATGATTTAACATGTTCTGGAAAGCCAACGTGATTTTCTACATTTTTTGGGAAATGATACTTTTACAGATTCAGACTGTATCACCACCGAAAATGGGCTGAAACATAAAGTTTGCGTTTTGTCCGAAAATGACATTTTCCTCCAATTTGATTTTGTAACTTCTTGGATTTTGGGTAAAATATCTTCTTCTCCATCTCGAAAATACAAATACAAATTTGTCTTAAGATTGTTATTTGGGTGTGTGTATTTCGAAATGAGAACGAACAAAATTTGGACAAAAGTTTGACAAGAAAAATGTAGTTGAGGCAAGAACTAAGTTCTTTCTCCTTAAGACAAATTTGCCCCGTGCAGTGCTCTCGGTTACGGCAATTGTCTCCCAAGATACAACGACTATTTCAGTTCCAACAAAGTAGCACACCAATTATTGGAACACGGCGAACGAAATGACGTTTAGGACTTTATAGGACACGAAGAAAAGGACTTGGTAATGCAACAATATGCAATGAGATGCTATGATGAGAAGTGAATTCAATTAATTTATTGAATTCCATGTGAATAATTAACTATTTCAAATGGTGGATTTTGGAATCTATTTATAGATTTTCAAAGGTTATGACCAAGCCACAACTTTTAGGAAAATAATTTCATGAAAATGTATCACACCTTTTCTCATTAACTACACACCTATTCAATTTAATAGGTGCTTAAACACCTCCATCTTTTTCAATGATGGCATTTCACTTTATTATTTTCCACACTTAAATATTTTAAATGATCCATTAATTTATCATTCATCAAAAATTAATTTTGAGAATTTAAATTAAACCACTTAAATATTCAACAAAATTTGAGTTAAATAATCAAAATTTCCTTCAAGTTCCTATTGAAATATGATAAAGTCAACACAAGTAAAAACACTTGCCATTTGTTAGTACTTGGGAAAAATGGCTGAATCCGGAATCTGCATATATTGACATACACATAAGATAGGCAAATAATTAATGATTGATGTAATATATATAATTGAGATGAAATGAAACGTATTATTATTGTTTTTTTTGTAAGTGAGTGAAGCGATGGGAACATGAAGCAATTAGCACTGACAAAAACTAAAGTAATAAAGAAAAACCATTAATAAATAAATAATACTAGTAAAATATAGGCGGCGATGATAAAAGAAAGAGTGAAAGAGATGAGCAGAAAACGCGGACAGTGCTTCAAAAATAGAGACAGCAAAACAAAAGTCCGGTCTTCAAATGCACGCATGCTAATTTCAATACTTATTAGCTCTCTCTACATGCACCATATAGCTACATATATATCATGTATTCACCTTTTCTTAATCTAATACTAATATATGGGGAAATATGCAATACCCCCCTCATTTGAAAAATATTTTGAATTAAACCCAATTGACTTTAAAGACTTTTCCCATAACCCAAATTCTAATCTAAATTAGTGAGACCCCCCTTATCAGATATGATAAGACTAAAATGCCCCTATGTGTTAGGGTTTTAATTTTATTCCTCACACGTTCACACTCTTTCTCTCACGTTCACTCTCTCTGTTCTCTTTTTTTTTTTTTTTTTTCTTTGCAGATTTGTATTACCGGTGCCGCCGTTCTCCTTCGAGATTTACACCGGTGCCGCCGTTCTCCTTCGAGATTTACACCGGCGTCGCCGCCCTCCTTCTCCGTTTCACACCACCGCCATTATCCACTCACCTAACCGCCGATCACAGCCGCCGCCTAGGGTTCCGCCGTCAAACCTCCCAAAAAACTCATGTTGTATGGATATGTAGGTCTGTGTGTGTGTGTGTTTTGTATGTGTATGTGAAATATTGTCTCTCTCTTTCTCTGTTATGTTTTTTTTTTCTTGAGATCTGTCTCTTGTGATTTTTAGATTTTTGGATCTCTTGCGACTTTGTATGTGGGTCTGTGTGTATATGTGTGAAATGTAGGTGTGTGTGTGTGTGTGTGTGTGTGTGTGTGTGTATGTGTGTTTTGTATATGCGTGTGTGTGTTCTGTATATGTGTGTGTGAAATATTGTATGTGTGTGTGTGTGTGTGTGTGTGTGTGTTCTGTATATGTGTGTTCTGTATATGTGTGTGTGTGTGTTCTGTATATGTGTGTGTGTGTGTGTGTGTGTGTGTGTGTATGTGTGTGTGTGTTCTGTATATGTGTGTGTGTTCTGTATATGCGTGTGTGTGTTTTGTATACGTGTGTGTGAAATATATGTATGTGTGTGTGTGTGTGTGTGTTCTATATATGTGTGTGTGAAATATTGTTTTGTGCATGTGTTTTATTTCTGTATTTTTTGAATTTTTTTTTTCTTTTCAGATCTGTATTACAGTTTTAGATTTGAACAACGGTAGTAATATGACTATAGTTATATTCGAATATGACTATTATTGAATATGACTGTAGTCATATTCGAATATGTTCTATTTTATCGTTTCATGTTGACTTGTAATAACAAGATTCAAATTATGATTTTTTGTGTGGATGTTGATTGGATTGTTTTCGTAAATAATAGACAATCTTTGTTGTCGTCTTTTTTTTTTTTCCAGATAGAACAACAGTAACATGACTATAACATGACTATAACATGACTATAGTCATATTCGAATATGACTATTGTTGAATATGACTGTAGTCATATTCGAATATGTTTTATCTTATCGTTTCAAGTTGACTTAGAATAACAAGATTGAATTGTGATATTTTTTGTGGATGTTGATTGGATTGTACCACACAATATAATCGGATTTTTTAAGTTAAAAATGTAAAAAACTGCAATATAAAAAAAGAATATGACTACAATTGAAATAGTCACATGCATGTAGTCACATTCGGCCTAATAAATCTGTTGAGAAAAAAAAATCAATTTTTTGTTTTAAAAAAAAATATTTTTATTAAAAAAATATTAAAAAAAATAAAAAAAATAAAAAAAAATAAAAAATGCTTATATCCGAAATAATAAATAATTTTTTTTTATTTGGTTGCAGATTTTTAGGAATTAGGAAAAAAAAAACAAAAAAATGAATAATTGGAACAAAATGTGCTAATTGATATAAGGGTAGTATTGGGAATAAAATTTCTGAGGGTTTATCACAAAGAAAGATTTAAGGGCTGGACATATCACTATTTATTAGCGAGATGAGGGGCTTATCGCTAATGACCCCTAATCATATATTGCCCTATCAATAATGCTGCTATATATAGATAATTAATAATATATATATATATATATATATATATATATATATATATATATATATATATATATATATATATATATATATATATATATATATATATATATATAGTGCAATGCATTCCTTCCCCACCAAATTCAGCAGCCATATATATATTATATTTAAATATATACCCTCTCTTATAATTTCTACTGGTTCAGTGGTTCATATGTGTATGTATAGACAAAGTGTGTGTGTGTGTGTGATTTGAGGTTGTCTAAGAGACATGGATGATGACAACCTGTTTTTCCAAACAAAATCCACCTCACCTGTCACCATCCATCTCTCTAATAATTAGTTGCTGCTGACAATCAACTACAGCTAACTTTTTGTTTCTTTGCTTCTTTATTTCCTCCTTTGCTTTTTACACACACATATATATATTCATCACCCGGCCCGCTGCTTATAAATTATTTAATTTCCACACACACACACACACACACACACACACACACACACACACACACACACACTCTGCTAATTAAGAAACAACATATATATTATAGTTTTGCTTGACCATCCTTTATATATAGTTTTGCTTTTCAGACTGCTTTAACAAATTAATTAATTAATTAATGATATTCTTTTTCTTCTAACAAATGATACTTTAGAACTTATTAAGAAAGTAATTCTAATTAATGTTCATATTCAACGAGTGGTGACTCATGACTATATGGCTGGCCTATATACATATATAGCTAATAATATTAATGCATGCCAGGCATTAATATAATATATACTGGAATATATTCATTACATCAGATGAGGAATTAATATACTAGTAAATTTGTGTCTGGTGATTGGATATTGCATGTAAAAAATAATATTAGCACATGGACCCGAAGACCCTCTGCCTCAAATGGTGGTTGCCCAGTGCCAATCACCCTCCGACACTGCGCCCCACCCCATTATTATTAGTTAATGCATGCACTCTTTCCTCTTACATCTAGCTAATTATATGTATTACCCCTCATAAATTACAGATAATTAATTATTATATAGTATATGACTATATGTAGTAGTAGCAGTCGTAGTTTATTTATGATCAAAACGTAATTAAAACAGTAGCATGCAAGTCACTAGCGTGTTATATATTGACCCTCTCTGCACCATATATATACATATATCATTGCAATAATAAATAAACATAAAACATAAAACTGTCTTTTCGTTTTCCCAAAGAAACATTCCTAGGAATCTACTCTAGCTATAAGTAGTTCATTTTTTCTCTATATATATACCACAAATTAATCATTTTGCTTCTAATTGTCTCAACGCTTACACCATTCATCGATATCTCAGCAAGTATATTAAAAATTAAGAAGCTGTGTGTGTGTGTGTGTGTGTGTGATTCATGGATGTCTCTATTACCAAATCGATTTGTGTCTACCCAAAACTAATTTCTGATGATCCTCCCAAAATCCTGACTCTGTCTAATTTAGATAGACAGTGTCCAAGTCTTATGTATATGGTTTTCTTCTACAAATCCTTTGATAATGGTCACTTAATAGATTCTGTGTTTAGCCGGCTTGAATCCAGCTTGGAAGCTACACTCTCCACTTGGTATCCGGCTGCGGGCAGGCTGAGCTTCAGTGATGGTGATGATGGGAAATTACTACTTAATATACTGTGTAACAATGCTGGTGCAATTCTTGTTCAGGCTGTGACTCAAGTCAAGATTTCTGAACTCGGAGATCTTTCTGTCTACAATGATTTCTTCGAGAACTTGGTTTTCAAGCCAGCTACCACTACCACTACTGATGGGAATATCACCGAGATGCCTTTGCTTGTTGCCCAGGTATTACAGAATATTATGGTTAATTTCATTTTTCAAGATATTAATGCATTCATTTTCAACAAGTCTTCCCACCTTCAGAGACATATGTGCATGTGTATTATAATAATAATAATAATAATAATGTATATATATATATATATATATATATATATATATATATATATATATATATATATATATATATATATATATATTAGGTGACAAAATTTGAATGTGGAGGGTACTCAATTGGGATGGGAAGCAGTCATTCGGTGTTTGATGGGATATCGGCATTTGAATTCTTCAAGGCATGGGCTCGGGAGAGTCAATTAGGGGGGAGTAAAGGCGCAGAAGCAGTAGTGCATGAAAGGGGGAAGGCCTTGTTGTTGATGCAGAATATTGAGATTAATCCTCATTATTCCACAATCTCAAATAATAATATTAATCCAACAGCAATCCATCATTTGTATCAACTCATTAGCCAGAAACAGCAGCAGGCGTTATTAATTACTAGTGACGATGATCAAGAAACTAATAATAACACTGATGATCTTGTTTTCAAGACCTTTCGTGTGAGCTCTGCAATGATCCAAAGCCTCAGGAACAAAGTCGCTTTTGGTGGGGATAATCCTCAGAAAACAGACAAGCTTTTGTCTTGTTCGTCCTTCCAACTACTTGCAGCTCACCTCTGGAAGGTCCATTATATTTATATTATATTATTAATCTTTTCTTTTTCTTCTTCCGATATATCCAAATGTGTGTTTTGTTTTGTACTATTCATGTTTCTTTTATGTCCCTTCACTTGTTTGTTTCTGTTCAAATGCAAATTTGTTTTTGTTCATTGTCACTGGACACTGTTTGACAATTACACACATACATGCAGACATGATAAGAAAATAATGTTTTGGCACAAGCAGTTAGCTAGACACAGATATGATATAAACAGACTATTCAATTTAATTACACGGGCCCCACATGAAAAAAATAAAATGATTTCATAATTAATGAGAAAATAAAAAATGACATTGTTGATCAGGTGGGGTTATATTATTTATTAATGCAGGTAAGGACGAAAGCACTTGGAGTAGAAAGAGAGAGAAAGGTGTGCCTACAGTTTGCAGTAGACATAAGAAAGAAGATGGTGCCGCCACTACCAAAGGGGTTTAGTGGAAATGGTTACGTGCTTGCATCTATTATAACCACGGCTGGAGAGTTGGAGGAACAGAGTCACCGATACATAATAGAAAGAATCAATGAAACAAAGAATAGCATAAACGAAGAATATGTGAAGGCGTACATTAAGGCTCTTCAAGCAAAAGAGCAGGGCACTACTAGTACTCTGCCCCCATTGCCAGAACTAACTGTTGTATCTGATTGGACAAGGATCCCTTTTCACACTGTAGATTTCTTTGGTGAAGAAGCAGTTTACGCCTCACCACTCATCCCTCCAGTCCCTCATGTTGCTTATTTCATGCAGAATCCTGTTCACACTGGGGCCGTCGATCTCAGGATTGGATTGCTCCCATCTTTACTCCCTCACTTTTCACACCACTTTCTCAACATATAGTTACAATTCTTCCTTTTCTATGTATTTTGTGTGTGTGCTGCATTGCATGTTTTTTTTTTTTTTTTTTCTTTCATCCAATTGTCAGTCGTCTTATTAATTAGGGTGGAATTAAGCTCATGAACATGAGTAGTAGTTAATTTCTCTTCACTAGACTACCATGCTTGTTTGGTGATGGTCAATTAGAGTCTTCTGTCGGATGCATATTAATAATAGCTAATTACTGGGTTAAATGTATCTCAAGCAAGCATATGAATTGCTTTCTGTCAAAATCATCATCATATGCTACTTTTTGATGTTTGTTTTCAGTTTTCTAATATGTTCATATCCATTAATATCTGTTAATTGATGGATAGCTAACTAATAAACTGTATATTGGGTTTTTTGGCCCAAATGTTTTTCCTTCATCTGTGGCCCAATACCAGCATGTAACCGGCCCATTTTGGAGCAAGCCCATACTTGAAAAGCCCACGTGGAGAATAGGACTTGACCCAATTAAGAGGTAAAATCGTGAAAAACGATTAATTTTCTCCACCTAAAAACTGATCTCGCCCCTCTGCTTTTCCATCCCCTTTTCTGGTCCGATCTTTCCGCCGGAGATCTGTGACACCAGTATCTTGATTCCTCGGTTTCCGTTGAAATCAGTTCTTGGGTCTATTAAATAGACCTCTTCTTCGTGAGAGAAAAGGGACCAAGAAAATTCAACCTACGTTACACCTTGTTCGTAAATCTTTTCTTCGTGACTGATTCGACTCTTTGTGAGTCTCAACTCTTTGTGAGTGTTTGGGTGTTGGGTTGAGTGCTGTGTGTGTTTGATTTATTCGAACTCTTGGTCCTTTGTGTGTTTGGGGTTTTTTTCGGGTTTTTCCGGTTAGAAATCTGAGAGGGATTTGGGCTATTGGGCATGTTCCGGTGGGTGCGTGGCTGCGGCTGGTGAGTCTTGGACGAGGACGGATGGGAATTGAGACTGAGCCGGAAACCTCAATCGTCGGCAGAGATTCATCCTCCCACGAATCTGTGTGATTCGCCGTGGTTCTTCTTTCCCCTTTATTACTCTAGTTTTTCCTTATTATTTGTGTTATTTGTTTCCTACTTCTTTTTGCAATTATTCTGATTTTCTTGTAGTCTTTATAATTGTTATGATTTGCAGTTGTTGTTAGGTTTAAATAATATAAGTAATAATTAGAGTCCTGTACCCTTATTCCCGTAATTGTTTTGTTTTCGGTAATTGCTGTCATATGCTATAATTAATTGATTTAGTTGATTTATTATATATTATATTTTAATTGTTTCGAATAAAATATGAGTGCTAAGATTTTGTGTGGTTTGTCTTCTCCGGGCGGATACCCAACACTGTAAAGTACAGAAAATACACTATATTCCAACAGTATCATACAATAAATCTAGTGGATATATAGTAAGTAGCACAAGAGAGATGGATAGGTCCTCGTTCAATTTGTGGCATTACATTTCTGCAATTAGTATCTACTATTTAGTACTCTCAAATGTCGTGTTGGGTTGTTGCTTGATAATATTCGTTCATAATAAAATAACACTTGATAAAGTTTATTATTAAGTTAAAAAAACAGCATTAGTATCTACTATTTAGTTCTCCCTCCGTCCCAATTTAAATGTTGTTTTGGGTTGTTGCGCACATATTAAGAAAATCAATAAATGTGCATGTACTATAGTAAAAGAACATATAAAATTACTGAAATATCCTTAGCATTAATTATTTTTTAACTAATTAAGTAGGAGCGATAAATGATAAAATTGAAAATAATATAATTAATATTTTATTGAAAATATAAAATGACAATAATTTGGTACAAGAAAAACTCTAAAAAAACATATAAAAGGGAAGAGGGAGTATATTATCATTGGCGTGCGTATAAATTAAGGCGCGGAATGTTGGCCGCTTTATAATCATGCATTCCTAGGTTTAATCATTATTTACTGGCTAGCATCTGTATTATTGTATTGACACACTGTACCTCAATTCCAGTGAAAGAAAAGCATATTGGATTTATTTTCCCCTTGATGAAATGATCTTCCTTCAGCCCCCTCCCTCTCCATCTCACTCAATCTATTGCTCTCAATTCCCAATTAGGGATTTTCACCAATTGAATTGAAGTCTGTTTCTCCGTGTGTGCATAACTGAAAAAAGCCAAAAAAAAAAAGAAAAAGAAAAAGAAAAGAAAAATCCCAAACCAATTGATAAAGATGTTATCTAGAATTATGGGGCGGAAGAAGAAGACGGGGACAGTTCCGGTATACCTTAATGTATACGATCTCACCCCAATCAACGGCTATGCTTATTGGCTTGGCCTCGGCATCTATCACTCCGGTGTTCAAGGTTACTTTTCGATTTCACCATATTCCATACATAACATATTCATCCCTGCTTTTATTTTTATTTTCTAATGGTGTTTCTGTTTGTTTTACTTCCATTTTCTGGGTTTTTTCTTTAAATAAATACTTGTGTGCTTTTGTGAATTGATCTTCGTTGACCCCAGGAGTTCGTCTCCGTTTGCTTGGCTAAGAAAAATCAAATCTTTCACAATTCAAGCACTTTTTACAAGGTCATTTCCTAGAAAATAATAAAAAGAAATATTAAAGTAAGAGAAGAGCCTTGAGCAGTTGTGAGATATTTGTGTCTCGTATGTTCGCCACAACGGGACTAAATTAGTAAGTGTAAGTGATAATACAGTTTGATGTAATACTTGGTCAATAAAAATCAAACCGAAATAGAGCATACATCTAATGTGCATATGACTAGAGAATCGAACATTCTTAGGTGGTACGACTTGCAAAGCTCTCCTTCAAGTTTTATCCTTGTAATGAACTTTTAAGTAATTCCTGGACAGTAGTTTTGATTATTTTTTGTGTTTGGGTAGGAGATTTATCTGATGTGATCTGGTTTTCCTTATTTTATTATGGTAGTTCATGGGATTGAGTACGCATTCGGTGCTCATGAACATTCGGCAACTGGGATATTTGAGGTAGAACCAAAGCATTGTCCTGGATTCACATTTAGAAAATCAATCTTGATTGGAAGATCAGATCTGGGTCTGAATGAGGTCAGTGAGTTCATGGAGAAACTAGCAGAAGAATACTCTGGAAATACCTACAATCTCATTACCAGGAATTGCAACCATTTCTGCAACGACGTATGTCTTCGCTTGACCGGCAAACCAATTCCAAGATGGGTGAATAGGCTTGCTCGACTTGGTGAGCACCCTTTTACATTTATATTTACAGTTACAGCTGAGAGACAGTTTTTAGACCTCTTATTCCCTGCATTTTTTGCTACTTCTTTTGGGCTTTATATGCTTCTTCTATATCAACTGCTCTGTAATGTTAGGATGTACTTGCTCGGGGAAGGAAGATTTCTGTTGGTTTAGAACTTTGTCATATTCCTATTACGTTCTTAGTCATATTAGTGAGCCCGAGATAAATTGTACTTGTATTTTGGTTCGATATGATTTGCTTTCACTATTTTCTTAGGTGGTCCTAGGTTCATAAGAAAAAAGTAGCATACGTCTGAAACAATCATTAAATACATGTTTAGCATGTTAGATCCTAAAAATAGTTGTTTTGAAGTAGTATTTTGTATACAATTTTGAAGGTTTGTTCTGCAATTGTGTTCTCCCGGCCGGTTTGAACGAGACAAAGGTTCGACATGTTAGAGCTGAAGACAACAAGACTGCTGAGAAGAAAAGGTTAACAAGTCATTCGAGTAGATCTATGTCTGCTTCAAATCTGCAACATATTTCAACAAGAGACCGTAGACAACAAAAAAGCCGACATTCCTCATCTTTGCAATCCTCTTCTTAACCATTAAATATAGTTACGCAGGTGTTTTTATTTATATAACTAAACAGATAATTGGTGTAGTGCATTTTATTTACACACGCATGTATATTTGGGCGTATGAGTTCATGTTATTGAAATCTGTTTTACGGTGTAGTGCATTTTATTTAATGTGTATTGTGGTGTAGTGCGTGTTTTTTTTAAGTGTGTGTTTTTGGTGTTGTGCGTGGTTTTTTTAGGCGTTTATTTTCTATTGTAATTCTTGTGTAATTCAGTGTGTGTTTGCGTGTTTTATTTTTCATTGTTTGTTTTTGGTGTAGTGTGTATGTTTTTGCAGTGAGTGTTTACGGTGTAGTGCACATTCTTTTTTAGTGTAATTGGGAGTTTTCGAAAGTTTAAAATATTTTTGAAATATTGTTTAGAATTTTTCCAGCTTTAAAATTGTTTAAAATTGGAAAATCGGATCAGAAATTTAATTTAAAACATCGGTTTTTAATTGTTCGGATCGAACCGGTCGGATCGGCCGATTCGATGGTTGTGTGCGATCCAATTGACTGAATCCACGTGGATTCGGGTCGGTCAGAATGTTCGGATTGGTCTATGTGATTCCTACATCTATGTTCTCTAAAGATATATGGAAACGCATATTGTCCGAAGAGGAACATACGACTTAATTATATAACTTATTACATTAATTAATTATCGGGTTTTCAAAATAATTATAACACCTCAACTAGCATAAATCAATCAAATAATGTTGGGGCACTATTAATTAAGTTGAAGTATAATCAATATTATATGTGTGTTCTATTAGACTCGATTATCTAATTGGGATTAATTGAAAACCCGAAACCCGAAACCCGAAACCCGAAACCCGAAAACCCGAGACCTATTAATAAAAGGAGGGTTTCGGGTTTCGGGTTTCGGGTTTCGGGTTTTCGGGTTTCGGGTTTCGGGTTTCGGGTTTCGGGTTTTCGGGTTTCGGGTTTCGGGTTTCGGGTTTTCGGGTTTTCGGGTTTTCGGGTTTCGGGTTTTCGGGTTTCGGGTTTCGGGTTTCGGGTTTCGGGTTTCGGGTTTCGGGTTTCAGGTTTTCGGGTTTCGGGTTTCGGGTTTCGGGTTTCGGGTTTCGGGTTTCGGGTG